TTCAAAGCGTCACTACACAACTGCGCGGCACGAGAGCCTCTTAGGACAGTCAAAGAAACCGCCTTTGACCGCCATTCTCGAGTTTGCAAAACTACGAGAACCATCTCCCACATAAGTATAGTAGACGCTGAAACAGTCCCACCGTCTTTATTCTTGAACGAGAATCCACCATGTCGTTAAGCAGAGCCGAACCTTACCATTGCTATGAGCCATTCCTAGAATTGTCAAACGAAGCCGAAAACACGCATCAGAGGATGATATTGGAGCCACATCAAAGGCCTGAACAAATGAGAGAAGACTAGCACGCAAACAATTTGGTGAGGAGCTCTGAATTTCCTACCATCATTGAAGCCACACCTTGGTCGTCACCAACAGAACTCATACCAATCTTAACCATTGTACAAGACCGCTGCCCAAGTGACAAACGCCAATGGGGATCACACATACGACAAAGCCAATCGCCACACCCGTGATGATTCAAGCAAGCCTCAATCCCTCAATCTCTACTCGTTGATGACACCGGAGTCAAACTGAGAACCACTGCGAAGTAGCTGGTTAAAGCCATCACAAGAACCCAACATCACCGCCCAATCTAGCCGAAGACCAACACAAGAAGAAACAGAGACGCTACCGGTGAAGTCGTCAAGAGCCACACTTCTGCACTGGGGATATCTGGCGCCGATGTTGCCGGAAAAGCCAGAAACCCTGCCGAAATCCCTCAATTTATTAACTCTCCAAGACCAAACAGGCTCACCGTCGTATGCAATCGATGTACTCAGATCTCTTACCACAAGTAATCCAAGGCCGAAGAAGGACTACCGGCAAGGAAGGCCGAGATCCGGCGAAAACTAGATAGATCCACCACCAACCTGAGAAACCCGATGTGTTCGAGATTGAGTCGAGATCCAGTAAAATCTCGATAAAGAAGCCGAGTCGCCACAAATCCTTGGCCGGCGAAAGAAAATCTGAAACGCTTACCCAACACGAAGCTTTAAACGACGAGAGATGTTTGGCCG